AAATAAGAAATAAGAAATAATAATATAATAATGAAGAGAGAGAAAAATATTTCTTTTTAGTGACACCAAATAAATATATATCCCAAAAAATAATCGCCGCTGCCGGGGATCGAACCCGGGTCACCCGCGTGACAGGCGGGAATACTTACCACTATACTACAACGACCTTGTTGTTATTTGTGATGGACATTATTTAATTGTTTCGACAAAGATCTTTATTTTCATAAATGTTTTGTTTCTCAGTCTTACAATATTTTTCCTTTTCACTTCCCAATTATCAAAAGAAAATTATCATCATCAACAATTTGTTTGAAAAGGGGCAACTATATTGTATCATTTTAGAATGGACAAAGTTACAATATATTTTATTTAGTTGATTTTTGATTGTTCTAACTAAATCAATGATAGATTTCGAAGTGGCTAAAGGATTTAGGAAGGAGATCGAATTGAGATGTCGAGGCGATAAAAAGGTATTACTCCCTAATTTTGTTGTGACACGTAGTTTGCGTTAGTGGAGTTATCTATATATTGAATGGTTAAATATTCATAGTAGCGTAGCGTTTGACGTCAGTGAAATTGGAATTCCTTTGATAATAACATGGGGAGTTATTATAACATAATAAAAGTGAATGGCAAATTAGCAAAATCCTGGATAGATAAAATATGGATATCTGTGGGTAATGAAGAATGGGAGAAGCATATCATTCAAATTCCGTAGAGATTTTATTTACGGTATTATTCATCCAGCCTTTTCTTTGCTTCGTAGTGAATCACCCTTACTTAAGACTAGCTACTAAGGGCATTGCATTGCATGTGATTGCTAAAATTAGATAATTTACGAGTTTTTTTTTTTTTTTTTTATGAAATAAGTGTTGCTAATAAAATCCAGATTGTAGCACACCTCATCATATATACACAAGGCATAAGCCTGTTTTGTCGTGCAAATAAATTTGGATAATCCTACGAACCACCATTGAATAAACATAGAATTTAGGCCTTAAAGCTTGGGTTCAAATTAATCAGCGTTATCTGTGACCTCACTCGGCATAAGTTGTATAGCACCAAGAAAAGGGAGAATAGTGTCCCAAACAGTTTTAAGAGGGGAATTGGAAGTCGAAGTTGAATCATCTTTTCCTCAACCATACTAACGGAGTACATGATTTGTAATTTTGTTATCAATGCAACATTTTTCAGATTCATATATATATATATATAGCTTCTTTCCCCCTCCAGAGATCGAGGTTTCAATTTCAATTTTACTAACTACTACTATTTTTCTAATCTAAAGGATCCATTTGAGTAATTAATTTTCATAAATCCGAGCAAGGAGCCACAGTGCATTCAACTATACTCTAACGACAACGGAGATCAACAGAACTATATATATATATAAACGCCAATGCAACTAAATAACGTATAGTCTATAGAGGCATGCATGTCAATTAGAAAAAAAGGAAAAATTGTTGATGCACTTGAAAACTTTTCTCTTGTTGTTTTTATAATTGTATTCTTCAATTCCCTTTCAACAATCAACTAAGTGAGGAGCCAGGTCCACTTAAATAAGGCGTGAATATATATTTCTCATGAGATGTTTCAGATATATATGTTGTATATATCATAGCACACCAGAAATAAACAAGCATATAAATCTTCTTGTGAAAACGTCCACGCATAACATTATTTCTTAACTAAAATGACATAAATGACCCAACTTTTAACGGATGACATAAATGAGTCTTTTCTCAAAGTTCACATATGGCATACATGACCTATTTTCTCAAAAGTTCGATAGCATTTTTGAGCGAGCTTTTTCTCAAAAATATATTACAAGTGTTGGTAAAATGATTCTAATATCTCCAAAAGAAATATTGATATTATTATCTGATCTATAACTATTCTATTAAATGAGTGTTAATATCTTTTTTATTATATCATATATAAATAACTATTAAAGTTGGTAAAAATATATGGCTGTTGCAACGTCTATTTTTTACCAAAATAATTTGTCTTTAATGTATTTTATGACATTCACTCTTACGCTTTGATTTCTATTCCTTTGAGACGTTGGCAGCTCATTTTCCTTTGCATATATAATCTTGTTTATGTAATATTGAGAAGGAAGAAGTGGAAAAATCAAGAGAGCTAAACGTATAATATTGTTTTCCCTATTTTATTGTGTTGGGTTTTCTTTCAATTGAATTTTTAATGTTTCTGGCGCCTAGTTTTATACTAGAAGAGTATGTTGAATTCTAGGAGATACACCTATATGGGGTGAGATATTCCTAAAAATAGTGTCCTTTTGACACGCCTCAATCTATGATAATTTCTACAAGTGTTCATTAAAAGGTGTTTTCCATAAGATTTCTAACAGTAAGTTGGTAAGTTGAATGGAACATACTATAAGTTGTAAATTTGTCCATTCCAAAATGATAATATAGTTCCCCTTTTTAAAACAAATTGTTGATGATAATAAATTTCTTTTGATAATTGGGAAGTGAAAGGGACAAATATTATAAGACTGAGGAACAAAATATTTATGAAAATATAGATCTTTGTAGTAACAATTAAATAATGTCCATCACAAATAACAACAAGGTCGTTGTAGTATAGTGGTAAGTATTCCCGCCTGTCACGCGGGTGACCCGGGTTCGATCCCCGGCAGCGGCGTTTATTTTATGGCTTATTTTTTTATAGAGAGAAGTATTAAAAACACTCCAAACTTGGTGCGAATTATTGGTTTCATCCCTAAACTATTGATAGGCTTAAAAACACCACTATACTCGACGAACTAAGCTTAAATACACCCCTCCTGTGTCACATGACATAACAAGTGATTACACTCTCTTTAAGAGTGTGGAAAGTTAAAAAAGAAAATGTCACATCAGATTTTTTATTTTTTTTAATTTTTTCCTTCATTTTTTAATTACCAACAGCTATAATACCCTTCTTTTTCCTATTTAACTTTTCCCCCACTAAAACTGACCTCAAAACAAGATTCAATTTATTTTTTTGAACACAACAGGAAGAGACCATAACCATTTGTACATGCTCCATAAGTTTTTATTAGTCATACTTTGACATTATCAAATTTATTTGATCCACCTCAACATCACTCTAAAAGTACTCAATGTACTACCACTTTGTATTTCTTTATTTTGATGGAGGATTTACAAAACTTTCAAATTGGGTTGCACCAATCCAATGTGCCCAATAACCTTTCATATCACTTTGATGACCAAAAATTACCTTCACATTTGAAGAACCATCTTAAGAACCCATAATGTTCTTCCTTTTAATTACCACAATTGACCATTAACATTTTACCACTCATATTCATATATTTAACCACTTGTCATTTTCAGACACATTATATTCTGCTACCACATTCACATAAGAAAATGAAGCAAATCAATTGGACAAATTTCATGACTTTATCAAGAGCATATCAATTTGCTCAATCATCATTACATCATCATTATATAACGTTGGGATTTGAACCCAACATCTTACCCATAAGAAGACATTTTAGGTCATTATTTGTTGGGACCCAACCCAATATTTTATTATCATGATGCCCTAGGACTCTCACCCGATGTATTACCCTCTTGGTGCGATAAGACTTGAATCATTCGTCTTACCCTCAATCAATGACATAATAAGTCAAATATAATAGGACTCACCATTGAGCCTTAAAAAATATTGCCACTTTGTGATTAACATGCACAAATAAATATAGAACAAAAGAAACACAATAAAAAAATCTCAACAAAGTATGTACTAATATCTTAAACTTGTCAACCTAGGACTCTCACCCGATGTATTACCCTCTTGGTGCGATAAGACTTGAATCATTCGTCTTACCCTCAATCAATGACATAATAAGTCAAATATAATAGGACTCACCATTGAGCCTTAAAAAATATTGCCACTTTGTGATTAACATGCACAAATAAATATAGAACAAAAGAAACACAATAAAAAAATCTCAACAAAGTATGTACTAATATCTTAAACTTGTCAAAGTAGAGAGTTACATATAGCATTATATTATACTATGTTTGGTGCACAATAATTAAGCTAGTGAATAACTGTTATAAATCAAAGAATCAATAGCACACTAAGAAAATAATAATTCCAATTACACTAAAATAAAACTGCTCACTACCACCACCCATTTTTCAATTTCCATGTGAACCCAAAATATTTCAATCACAAAAACAAAATAAATTAAAAGCTTATGTAATAACCAAAACAGTGAGTATAATCATAAAATAAAATATAAAATAAGTTTCACATAACAAAAGAAAGTATATATAGTCATAGGTAGAAAAAATAACAATAATATTAATCATTCACCTTGTTCACAAGTAAAATATAAAATAAATTCCACAATAATTTACCTTGTTCCCGGGAGAAAAATAAACACAATTTACCTTCTTTTATTTACTTTGTTTCAATCTTGCAATGGTAGAATATTCATGCTGATAACGTGTTGTAAAACTTAAGAACAAAAGAACAATATAAAGAGGAACACAATTAGAAGATATAAGACAAGAGGAATAATATAAAATAATTTCTTTCTTTCAAGTGTATACAATATGATTCCGTATGCCTTTATTTATAGTTTAACATAGTGGTAAGTATTCCTTCCAGTCACTCGGGTTTAATCCCCGGCAACGATGATTATTTTTTGGCTTATTATCACATTGGCCTAGTTTTTTATTTTTCTTTTTAAATATATCCTATTTCTACTAAAAATATTACTATTATAAAACTTAATTTTTATTTTAAATTAACCTCATCATTATTTTTTATTTAGATAAAAATATATATATATATATATTTAGAAAAACGTACTCTAATAGGAATGTCTCCTAAATAAAATCAAGGAAGTATTAAAATTTCCAATTCCTTTTTTGAAAAGGAAAGCAAAATAACAGAATTAAAAGGCAAAGGGTTCCTTACTTTTACCAAAATTCTTTGAAACTTTCAGCATGACGATGGAGCCTACGGCACTAAAAATATCAATTCCTCGAGATATAATTTTTGATATATTCTCGACCCTTCCTGTCAAGTCGTTAATGCGTTTTAAATCCGTTTCCAAATTTTATAATTCTCTGGTATGTGAATCAGTTTTTGTGGATATACATCAATGTCGTAGTAGGAGTAGAATCAAATACATTGTGCGCCAACGTGCAAAGTTGTACACTATAGAGGCAATGGAAGAAGGAAAAGTCTCTCCTCTTCATATTGATAATTTTTGTGAAAAACTCTTCTACAACTATATAATGTGCGTTAATGGTTTGTTTTGCTGCTCGATGCGGAACGTGGACGGTGTTGCAATTTGCAATCCTAGTACGAAAGTTGTAAGATCTCTTCCCCGATTGAAAGAATGTCCTAAAATTGATTATGCTGAGTATTTCTGTTCAATGGGTTTTGATCCAGAAGAAAAGACGTATAAAGTGTTGATGACAATTAACGGATTTACAAAGCCTACAAGAAATTGGGTTTTTACTTTAGGTAGAGACGAAGAATCATGGAGAGAGATTAAAGGTATTACTGATTTTGTTGGTAAGAATGCAGTTTGCGTTAGTGGAGTTATCTATATTTTGAGTTACAGTATGCCTAATATATTCGTATTAGGATTTGATGTTAAAAGTGAAAATTTCAGAATTATCACATTGTGGAATTCCTTAGATGAACACATAGGTGGGAGTTATTATAACATATTAAAAGTGAATGGGAAATTAGCAATCCTTGATAAGAAAATTTGGTACATGGAAGGCAATTTTGATCTGTGGATTTTAGGAAAAGAAGAATGGGAGAAACATATGATTGAAATTCCAGCAGCAAGTCCAGAATTTAAACGACTAACATTTTGCGGAACTTGTGACGGAGAGATTTTATTCACCAACAAGCTTGCGTCAGGTCAATTCATCTGTTTATGTTACAATGTCATGGAAAAGAGATGGAGAAATTTTGAAATCCAAGGGTTTTCAGAACAGAGTTCGATCAACGAAATTTATTGTTATGATGAAAGCCTCTTTCCAGTTGAAAGAATATGCAATTTGTTTCTCAATTAAACGTTTCATGACCTTCTGTAATAGTGTTTATATTCATGCCTTAATTAGCATCAGCCTGTATTGCCTGAACAGAGTACTTCTGTGAGGGATTTGCATATTGCGTTACATTGCAATTCATAGGGCTATGTAGTATATACTTTTGTTAAGGGTGTTCAAGATTTAATATATAATTTTTGACCTATTTACTTCATATAATTTTCTATATAGATAGTATAATTTTTTGACAAAGAGTGTTCAACTGGCTACCCTTTTATCAATCAAATAGTGAGTTTTAGTGTGCCAAGGACTGGTTCAGATGCAAGATATTTCTGCCCAGATGCAAGAGTACTTTCATAAAAATCAAGTGAGATATGAGCGTGGAAACAATAAGAACAACACCCAAAATCTGGTGACACAAGTACAAACTTTTAAAATTGTCAAGTACATAACTAATACAATAGAAGGAAATCTAGCAGAGCTGCGAAACAACCAAGCAACTACCTCCAGACTCCGAATACTCCTCATGCACTGAGAAGATCATGAAGAAGATCTCTAATTTTTTATATTACATATTTTTGGATTCGATGTGACTTTCTTAATATTTATGATTAAGAGCTATAATTGACTTATTTTAGGTGTTTTAAAGCCAAAATAGTTTCTAAGCACTTTTGGAGTGTTTGACTATGTAATGTTCCATTTCTTGTGAAATGCCCATTTTACCTTACCTCTGTAGATCGAGTTTGTATGCTTAGTTTGTATTTCGGGAATGGTTGGTGTGGTCCCCGAGGTGATCGAGTGTGTTTTTGGTGATTTGACCTCTCTTGAGTTGAGAATTCTAGATAGAATTGACTTCGGTCAACATTTTGAATTTCGAGTGTCGGATGGGAATTCCGTCAGTTTCATCGTGTCTGAAACGTTGAGTTTGAGCTAGAAGAGTGGGTTGTAACGTTTCCAAGGCCTTGGATTGAGTTTTGGGCGTTTGGGTGAGAAGTTGAGTTTTAAGCCTTAAAGAGTGGTCTGGGAGGGTAATTCCATAATTTGACCTCTTTTCAAGAATTTGACGATTTCATTGAGTCTGAAATGTCGATTTTAGTAGGGTAGCATGTCCAATTTATTTTCATCGAATTCTGAATAATTTTCAGAGTCCGATGGAGACTTGGACTTAAGCCTTTTTGCTATTTTCTGGTGTCTGGTCGCGGGTCCCTTAGCGCGTTCGTGGGAGGAAAGTGCCTGGGCACCGCGTTCGCGGGATGAATGGTCGCATTCGAGTGTAAAAAGTGCTCCACGATCGTGGAGATGTTCCCGCGTTCGCGACCCTGAGTGGCCTACTAGGCCGTGTTTGCAGCACTTGGTCCGTGTTCACAGCACTTGGTCCATATTCAGAAATTTATGCCATTTTTCATCTTCCACCATTTTTCACTCGGTTGGGAGCTTAGGAGAGGAGATATTTTAGGGGTTTCTTGAGGAGATTTACTTAGGTAAGTGTCTTTATCAATTTCCTCAATTTTTACCTTTCGAACATATCTTTAAATCATGATTTCAGTGTGAGTTTTGGGGTTTTCTCCCTTAAGTTTGAATTTGGTATTTTCATGATTTGGAGCTCGTTTCTAGCTTGTTTTCAATGGACTCAACCACGAATTCCTCTTGGCTTGTAGAACTTGATTTTCAACTAAAAATCTAATTTTACCCTTTTAATTTCCGAAGTTATTTTTGGACTATTTTACTACCGGCTTCAAATTCTATCAATATGGGTATCATTGGACTCCTTTTGATGAACTCTTTCCATTTTTGATGATTGAGGATCGTTCCAGTGATTGTGTGGTTGAGAAATTGCTCCAATAGAATTGTTTGAGTGAAGTTTCGGTTTGAGGTAGGTTTGGTTATTCCTCTTTTAGACTAAGATGAGCAATTAACCTGTTCTTAGGAAGTCAAATGTGAAATGAGTTGTAGTATGTGTTTTAGAAGTTGGTAAGTGTTGACCTCCCTGTTTTAATTCGTATAATGCCTATTTGTGATTTTTGGTATGTGTGGAGACTTGTGTGATGCTATTAATTGTTGTGGGAAGTTTGTGCTATTTGAGTATTCCCCGAGCAAGAAGTTGTGTGACCTATCTTTATAATGACGTGGTGATGCCCGAGTTAGGGGCTTGAGTTGATTTTTGAACCATCTTAAAATGAATGAAATGCTTTTCTAAATGGAAAAAGTTGGTTTGAAATGATTTTCTCCACTATCCCTATCATTTGAGAAATGTTTCTTGAACTGTTAAGTTTGAAAACTTAATACTATTTGAAATGCTTGATAAACTGATTAAGCCTTTGTGTTGTATGTGTTGTGATGCATTCATCCTCATGCAACATATCATGAGTTATGGAGACATGAGAAAGTAGGGAAATATTATCTTTTTTAGAAGGCCAAACACATATGCAGACCCTTAAACTTGTTCCTAAATTTCATTTTGACACTCCAACTCAACCTTGTTCCATTTTAACCCTTCAACTCCAATTTTTATGTTCCATTTTGGCACTTCTAAGTGATGTGGCAGAGAGTGTGCATCACACATTCTACTAAGAGAGTGAGAACAAAAAAAAGTTATTTTTTTTAAAAAATAATAAAAGATTACCCTTCAACTCTATTTCTTTTATGTACCATTTAACATAAAATACTAATTTTATGATTTATTTATTTTTATATATGTTATTCAACTGTAATTTTGCATTTTAAAAAATCGACGAATCATCCGTTAATTATTGTAAAAAATTAAAACTGACGGATTATCATTATTTATTTTTTTATAAAAAAAGTAACAATTTCTTTTTAAGAGTTTTCCTATATTTTGCGTGAAAAATAACCGATGAAAGTGCGTCGATTTTCTTTCTTAAAAAAATCAATGACAACCCAACGAAATCTATTGAGTTTTCAACATTTTTTGGTAGTGTTATTAATTAGTAATGAACATGAGTTTTTTTTTACTCGTATTTAATTAGTTGAATGAAAAATTAGAAAGTTGATATTTGAGTTAGTCCAAGTAGACTAGATATGAAAAAAATATATGTGATGTTATTTAAATTAACTAATTGTTTTTAAAAAAAAACCAACACACTTTCGCAGATTATTTTTTCACACAATAATGTACAGAAACTCTAATAAAAATTGTTTTAAAAAATGTTCATCCATTATTTTTTTACACAATAATGGCATGTGAAGTACACACATCTCATTTTGTTGGTTCTTTGGAAAGAAGTGCCAAAATGGAACATAAAAATTGGAGTTGAAGGGTTAAAATGGAACAAGGTTGAGTTGGAGTGCCAAAATGAAATTTAGGGATAAGTTTAAGGGTCTGCATATGTGTTTGGCCTTTTTAGAAAGAAAATATGACATTTGTAACCACGAGTTAGGTGGCAAGTTGATGAGATATTGAGATTATGAGATTGGTATATGGACTGCGAGTCCCCTATGAGTCCTTTTCTGGAAGTTAAATGTTCGGTAAGTTGTATACGACATGTTGTGCTACGACCTTGGTACCATCACATCATCCCATCATGTCATCATCTCATTGCATCACATTGGCCAGTCTTGTTGGGTTATGTAACTTGGTTGTGTGCTGATCTAACTATTATCTTTCCTCTTATGTGTTTACTTTATTTCACGTCGTTCTATATAAATTAGTTATGGGACTTTTTCACATGTAGGTGGAAGCATTCATAGTTTATTTTTAAGTCTGTTTAGTTCTTTATATTGAGTCGGCCTAATCTACTGAGTACATGTGGATTGTAGATCCTGGTCAAAGTGAGTCTTGGTGCAATTGATTTGATCTAGCAAAATTCTCTCTTTCGAAGTTGTGGTGAGATCCTGCTTTTCGGATCGCCATTAGTTTCCATCTATCATTTAAAGTCTTTAACTTTCCTTTCGAAGACTTGAAATGTATTTCAGATTCTAGAAATGTATTAGATGTTCTTTATACTTATGCTACAGGGTTTTGAGATATTCCTTGTTGTTTTTCTATCGTTTGTGGCCTGACCTCCTTTCGAGAGTCTCGCATGTGTGATTCTTTCAACTTACACACCATTTTGGGGATTTTCTAGGGGTGTATGCCATCATGACCTCGATTTTTAGGTTGTAACAAACTAATTTGAAAAAGTACTCATAAACATTTGTTTTAAGCTAAAATTATAAAAATAAATGAAAAGTCAATTCAAAATAGACTCTTTAAAAAATTTCATTATTTTCATCAAATTTAACAAATATAAATTGTTAAATATTTGCTAAATGCAAAAGTGTTATCTCTTGATAAACATGAAGGATAAAAATTATATAATACATATTTACGAGATTATTTTTAACCTACCCTCAAAATAAACCAAATCTATTCGATGTACTTAGTAAATCGCATGTGTCCTATGCGTTTTATAAGTAAACTTCTTTGAGTGCAATTTCTAAGTTGAATAGGACCTATTGCCTGCTAATATATCGTCCCATCATTTTGAATAATATTTTTTCTTTCTTCCCACTTTTTAACCCTTTTATTAATTAATCTTTTAACTCCTCCTAAAGAAAATAGGTGTCATGCATTATAACAAAAATAACTTATAAATAGTGTTAAAGTCTTTACCCTCATTAGTTAAGTGTCATTAGATTCAATGTGCTAAAAAGGCTTTAGAGACATATACAAAAGTGTTAATTGCTGCTAAAAGGCATATACATAAAAAATGATATAGTGATGTGATGGTATACAAGATAAGTTTAGGCTGAAACTGTTCACTATCAAGGGCGGACTCATATGACGCCGAAGGGGTTCTTCCAAATATCCCTCACTTGTGGCCAGTGTTATCAAAGTAGAGCATGCTTATTTGTAAATTCAGATGGGCCGATCAAATTTTGGTCTTAGTATTGAGCAGGGGCCGCACGAACGCAGGCCCCCTCAGCAACAAATTATGACGCAGGCTCGACCACTTGGGCCGACCTTAGGCAGGCACCCCTCCAAAGTGCAATGGAGGTCACAAGCCTAGGCCATGGGTCTTATTGATCGCCCATTGACCCCGTCCAGGTAAGTATGTTTTCCGATCTGCTCGGCCCATTACTTATACTACAGCTTTTGCTCCGCTTTCTCTTAAATGATGATGTGGGACATAATTCATAAGAGATATATCATTCTAATCAGTTTCTCTTCGTTTTTTTCTTTCTATTTAACGGATTGTATCTTTGATTGACCAAGTACTTAATTACACTTTGTTTGAATGGTAGCTATATATATTTCGATAATGTATTGATTGTATCCTATTATTTTGATGAATGTAATATTTGAATAAAGTATCATTCTTCATCGCTACATAGTATCACACATTGATAATTTAAAACAACTTACTTGGTATTTTTCTAAAAAACACTAGTAATCTACATGTTTTTAATCTTCAAAATGGTTCAACTTGACCTTGAAAAGTAAAGTATGACATTTATAATTTAGAAAACAGGAGAATAAAGACGAAGAAAAAGAAAAATATCAGCATATTCATCCTTATATTTTTCCAAATTGGTGTATTTAGTTTTTATGGAAGACAAATAACAACAGATTTTAACATTTCTTGCAGAAATATACAAGGGAAAAATGATAAAATGCTTTTATATTTCCAACATATCAGAAGAGAAACTTTAAGTCACAAGCTATAATTTGTTTAAGCATAAAAACTTTCTAAAGTATCTAAATATCTATTACACTTCTTAAAATCCCTAACTGAACTTCTTCCTTGTAAAGCTAAAAACACAGGTACATTATTGGTTCCTAAGTCACAAAGTAAAATTTTGGCATTCTAAAAACCTAAGGAGAAAGAAAACAAATTTTGCACTTCCACAAGCACATACAATACTACTTTACATATAGTAACTTAGCTGGATCTCATATAATGGCCAGTGTTATCAAAGTAGTATATTTGAGTTTTGTTGGGTTCAAAAGTGATTAGGGCGTCATGCGAAAGCTTACAATTACAAATCATATGGTTGATAAATCAGACGACAAAAACTTATACAAAAAATATAATATTATTATATGAAAACTAATATAAAAGAAAAATATTAAAACTATTGAGAGAATAAATCTCCCCATAAACTAAACTCTTAAATGTCTACGTTGTGGAAACTATTGTGTGCTTGTTATGAGAATAGATATCTTCAATTTATAGGATTCCAGACTTTCCCTCTAAGGAAAGAATAAACCAAATATGAAATCATGAAAAGTAAAAACAATTATGATTTTCAATAGAATGTTTTTTTTTTGTTTCCCACCTGGTGTTCGGAGCCCATTTGGTTTTGAATTGGCATTTTCAATGTGGTTTTCTTCAGATTCACAGGAAAATGAAATGGATAGTTGACTTAGGAGATATTTGAAGAAACCAAGTGGAATTGAAGCAAGAAGAGGTCAATTGGAAGAAAGTGAAACCGGTAGAAGAATGTTCTTAATCCTACTTCGCGAGCTCTCTAAAAGAAAGAAATACTCCACCAAAGAAATTCTTAGTTTTCTTACTTTGATTTCTAATTTCGCCTTTAATCAGCAAAGTTATTGGACCTTGTTTCTTTTGGTATAATGTACAATCTCTTCTTTACCTATTGATTTGGCAAAAATAATATTTTTAATTACCAACACTCAAGCACAAATATATATATGTGGAGAAAATAAATTCATGACGCATATTAAACTTGCAAATAAAAGTTCATATCGAATTGTACATGTCTAAAGGTAGTTGAAAGGTTTCTCCAATTAATTTAATTGACAATTAATTTTTATAAATAAATAAAATGATAAATATACTTGACATTTTAGTAATTCAACTTTTGACTCAAGACTCTTTCCACTAGGAGTGTGCATCGGTCGGTTCGGTTCGATTTTATGAATTATCGGTTTACGGTTTTTAAATACGCTAAACCAATAACGAACCAATAAGATAATTTTTTATCGGTTTTCGGTTTATCGGTTTTGATCTTTAACGGTTCGGTTTTCGGTTTAACCAATAAGAACATGCTTATAAAACAAATATATGAATTCTCTAATAAATTTGACACGACAAGACATTAATGTAACTTTACTAAAACTCATAAAATAGAAATAATAATAGCAAACATGAAAAGAACTATACATGTGTAACACAAAGAGAAATAAAGAGGAATATGATTCTTACTTTAGGTTTTGACGATTTGTATAATGTATAGTTGTGGACTCAAAGTCACAGCGAAGTATGAATTGATGGCTAAATGACAAAGACATAACTATTAAGATATTGAGATTAATATTTATTAATATGTATGTATATGTAAAAGTATTAAATTACTATAGTCTTAACTCTTAATGGGTTATCGGTTTACCCAATAACCCAATATTGAAAACCAATACCGAACCGATAACCCGATAATTTTTTTTATAAAACCATTAAGGAACCGTTAACCCAATAACCCAATAGCAATAAATCAATAACACTTTTTTTGGTTCGGTTTATCAGTCAGTTCGGTTTTGCACACCACTACTTTCCATAATAGATTGATCTTGTTGACTTATATTACTAAAATCTAAACAAAATGAAGCTTAATTACTCCATTCTCATAATATTTTTAATTTACATTATTTTAATTTGAGGAATAGTTTTTAGTAGGTAACAATTAAGGGTCTAAGTAATTCATAAAGAAACAACAAAAATGTCCAAAAGCAAAATAGTCATCATACCAAGCATTTGAATTTTAACACTACAGAAAGTTACCGTTAATATAGAATGCTTATGTTTAAGAAAACTATTAGGCTTAGTGTTGCATAAATGTAAATGTAACTCTCATTATTATTTGAAAATTGAATTGTTAAATCTCATATTGTATAAATTGTAGAAAAATAAAAAATGAAACAAAAGGGGTGAAAATGAACAATATATGTGTGTGTTCGCAACACTATGTTAGATAGACGATAAAGTAGCACAATCAAAATCTTTCATTCAAAGTAATAATCTTTTAGCAATCTTTATTTGAATTACATGTATTCAAAAAAACATATTGCATAAACTATTCAAGTATTATAAAACTCATCATGTATTAATAGAAGTTTTGTCAATTAAATAGCACTTAAAAGAATAATAACACAAAAACAAAGAATTTTTTTTTCATAACAAATACAAAATGATACGGAATTACATAAAAATATGGGTTGCATACCAAATTTATTTTGGACAACCATACCTTAACTCTAAAATGGAAAAGAAAAACTTAAAACATAAGCTAACATAAAAAAGATCTAAAAGGAATATATAGGTCATAAATTATACTTCTAAGCTAAACACTTGAACTATATTGTAAGAAACCTTCTCTTTTTAATTTCAGAATGAAGCTATTTGTTCTTCTCCTCAGTTAGCTTCTTGACGGCATGTATCTATATCATTATCTAGGTAATAGATGATAGAAAAGAAAATAATATGATCATCTGGGGAGTAATTTACTGGTATTTATAGTAATATTTGGTTGCCTTTTCACTTACCAAAATTTATTAATGGAGCACATTGAATCATGAAACATAAATTTTATTTTGGTTTCAAAATTCAAAGAGTCACCGAATTGGAAGAGTTTCATACATTATTTTGTCTTCTACTCTAATTGAATTTAATCTAATCAATTATAATTATAATGTCATGACTAAAAAAAATCAAGTGTAGTTGTTGGACTTCATATTCCACCATGATGTAATTAAAATATTAATTTTATTTTGATATAGTGGAGGAGCAAAATGGTAATCCAACTCTGAAGGTTGGAGCTTCCCACTTCATAATATATGATGATAAAATAAAATTAAATACAATATAAATTAATATAATATAATATATATTGTGATGATATAAATATTGATTTGATTATGAATTTTGTAATAAAATTTTACTATGCCTCTATTTATAAAATAACAATATAAAATACTAATGATATTATGAACATGACTATTAATATGAAAGAGTAATGTATGAAATCTGAGAGAAGTTAAAGAGGTGTTATTAACTTCAAAATTAGTGTATCTTCATATCACAATGAATAATGTTTATTCATTTATTACTTTAATAAATATTTTTGAATAAATCAATTTAAGTAGAATGACCATTAAGATACACTTACGTGAATTTGGCCTACATAGAACAATTTTCACAACTTTTTAAATTCTCCATAATTTGGTCATCATGACTAACTAAAATTGATGATTGATGCCTATTCATTTAATATTTAAAAAAATATCATAAACCCAATAAATAACTGTAAAAAAAGTTATAGATATTTTATTATTTATTTAACTATATATGCTATTAATAGTATTATCGTCGCAACTCAACTTTATAAGAGTATTTTGATATTTCAACATTTGACTTTTTTTATTCCCACTTATAGTAATATATGATGATGATATGATAACTTTTTTTGTTCTCCTTATAATAATATATGATGATATGATATACGTATATATATTTGAAAATTTGTATCCACTTCAATTTTATATTCATAAACTATACGCTTTTATTTGTGGGAGAGGTTTAGCCATCGCTTTGGATGAGATTTTGCCTACCTAATCAATATATATATATATTTGTATCTAATTCAATTTTATATTCATAAACTAAAGCTTAATCTTAGGCGTTGCTAAACAAAATTGAAAATATGGAGAAATTCATTGTCATTGTAGATATATCCAACAGGTTCCAAGGTCAATCCCCCACTTCATGTGCAAAACATGTTAAAGGTAAGAACTTTTTAGAGAGTACAAAATCATATTTTCTCAATCTCAATTTATGCGACAGTGCTTGAATTTCAAGACCTAAATAAATTTTACTTTGATCGCACTTTTTCAAATATTTTTTTAAATATTTTAAATTGTTAATTATTATGACTTATAATACTTTTTAACATAATTTTTTATATAAATTTAATTTGTTAAAAGTGAGAAAAATCTATATCCGAATTCATAACTAAAATTAAAAAGTTTGACTCTTTGAAATTATGCATAAACATAATGTATTAATTCAACAGAACTAAGTATGGGCGTAAGTTTCCTCCTGCTATTTATCTAATATGTTGTATTAAAACCTGCAAAACTTTTCTTACTTATCTTTTCGGAGCTTGGAGGCTATTCAATTTAGTTTCACTAAGGCTGAAAGCAGGCCACTTCTATAATCACAACAAACAAAAAGCAGAACAGAGAAGTAAATTACAAAGCTAAGAAAAAATTGCATAACAGAGACAAAAAAACAATGCAGAATAGTTAAAGAAGTATAAAATAGAGGGGGGAAATGCACAACAGAGACAAAACACATAGCAGATGCTTGTATTAACCAAATTTTATCTAAAGGAATTAAATTTTAAGCAGTGTCAAGAACTAGTGAGACGACTCATCCAACATATGAAAACCAAATGCGAGATCACTAAACCAATATTCAAATTTTCAACAAAATTGACATTAAGCAGAGGAAAAGTATACTAACTTGCAACTTCACATCTACAACGCAACATAAAACATAAAGAGGGAGGTTATAAGTTATGGACAAGTACTCACGAAATAGTACGAGAAATTAGAAAAACTTAAAGTTATATATCTTCTGTTTGATATTTTCAGCCTCCATGAAATAATCAGATGGCCCATAAATTCCTTGTATCTGATAAATTTAAAGGTTAAAACTCATCACTAGTTTTGCAGAGCCCCAACATATTTGGCTTTATCAAAAGATCTAGTTTGGATACATTCTTTCAAGAATTTAGAAGCCCCCATGAAAACAAGTTACAGAGCTTAGGATGTTAGAAAATACAATAAAGCACAAGAGTTTTTGATCAGGTAACAATTTCATTGATCACAAGGTCAAAGTTGATTGTATACAAAAAATATATCAAGGAGTAAACAACATACAAAAAAGACATGATCCTCTACAAAAGACACCCAAAATCCTCTAAACAATACTAAATAAGGAAGCAAATTTTACTCCTTTATCACTATCAAGTCACATTAGAGCCACTAAATTTCATACGAAACCAAAACAATTAAGCAAGATGGTCAGGATCTTGTTAGCAACTACAGAAATAGACTATAATAACATGAAAATGATTTAACTTATACACTGACATCATGCAACTTAGGCAACAAATATATTCAAAGGTGTTTTTGCTCAACTGATTTTTTAAAGCAAGGTAGACATGAATGCTCTTATAGCAGTCTAATCCTTTTCAACAATAATAAGTTCAATTCTAAATGCATAATTCTTCATTCGACTATGAAATTTTCAACTACCCATTCCACACAGTATTTAAGTCCTCATTTGATGTTATTCATAATATCAAATCCACCACCTCTATAAAAATGACCCAACAACTTTCACAAAAACTCAAATCTAAATCTGAAGGAAATAAAACTACCCAAGGTAATAATATATGCACAAGTAAAAGACCCAACAATGGTTATATAAAAGAGACTTATTAATCTACAAATAGTAGGTAGGAGCCTTTATTCAATAACTCTTGTATTTTTGTACATTGAGTATATCTCTCTACTACTTGAATGTATCTCTCTACTATATTGAATATATGTAATAAAGCACCCCTATTTATAATACTAACAACCAAAGTAAACTAGGACTAACAAATTATAATTAAACATAAATAAAGTAAATATCATAAATAACAAATCCTAAACTATTAAGGAATTCTAAACTACTTAGGAATCCTACTGTTCGTTTATTTCCTACATAGCCTCTCTTAAACCAAGATCTTCAAATATGACCATGCCTAGCATCTTCTTCAACTTTATGAACAACTCCAATTTTAATGGCTTTGTGAAAATATCAGCAACTTGTTCTTCGGTCTTGCAATATTCAATCATTATCTCTTTATCATGGACCAAGTCACGAATGAAGTGTCATTTGATGTCAATGTGTTTGCTATGACCATGAAAAACTGGATTCTTTGTAAACGCAACTGCAGGCTTGCTATAACAAAATATTTTTGTAGGACTATCTTGCTTGTGTTGAAGAAATCGAAGCATCCTTGTCAACCATAATGCTTGTGTAGCACTACTTGTTGCAATCATATACTCTGTTTCAGCAGTTCATAAAGCAACAACTTGTTGTTTCTTTGAAGACCATGAAAATACACTAGATCCCAAATAAAATGTATAGCCAGAAGTACTTTTTCTTTGCATCATATCACTAGCCCAATCACTATCAGTTAATCCAACAAGATTACTATCATTAGTATTTGAATAAAATATGTCATCAGAGTGTGTACCTTAAATATATCTCAAAATTCTCTTGACGGCTTGCAAGTGAGATTGACACGGAAACTCCATAAATCTACTAATTAATCCAACTTCATAAGTAATATCATGCCTTGTAGAAGTCAAGTATCTTAGACTCCCTACCAATTTTCTAAATTATGTAGCATCAACAAAATCGTGTGTGCCATCTTTGGTCAACTTCAATCTCTCTTTAGCAGAATTCAAGATCAATTTGACTTTCTTCATATTTAATATTTTAAAAATATCATCATCATTATTTTTTCTTTTCTTGTATTCTTGAATAACCATTATTGCCTTAAAATCATCTGCTTCTCCAATTGGTTTGTAGTTGGTCTTGCATGTCCATTCGACTTCAGTTGATCGTGTATGTGGTATCACTACAAAAAAAATCAGCATTTAGCGACAAATTCTAGCAACGAACAAATTTTTATCGGAAAAATAACGACGGATTAGCTGCAAATTTACAATTACGTCACTAAAAAAAACTAAAAGTAAATGAACATCATATGCAGTGATAGACTAGCGACGAAATATCAAATTTGTTGCCAAATTTGGTGCCAATTTTACGTGCCATAAATTTAACTACAAAATTAGCAACAAATGGATGGCGATATAATTATTTAGAATTTTTATACGCCATTTTAATCGGGTCAAAATAGTGTATAACATTTTGGTGATTCCTAAATTAATTGTCTAAGTAAAGGAGTCGCCACCTAATTATTACAGTGAATTAGGGCACCTAAAATTAATTAAAGTCTTTGTCTAAATTTAACTCCATTTTAAACATGAGAATCTAGGTACATGTTCAATTAATCTAATGGAAAGGAATGAGGCATCCTGTAACACCCCGGAATTTAGTGAGTTGAACTAGTGGGTTCTAGAGCCTTTTGTAAGAGGTTTGGAGTGTCGTATGAGGATTAGAGATTGTAAAAACGATTTCCGTACTTATAATAGGGGTTTAAGGGTTAGGGCGTCAAGGTACGACCCCCTAAGGACAACCTAAGGGGTCCTTGAGGAGGACCTCAAGACAGCCCAAAAAGCTATTTTTTGGCAGCAACCTACGCATGGCCACCTACTGGCCGTAGGTGGACCCACACCTCGTAGGTTGGGGTCGTGGGTTAAGGTTGGGGTGGCCTGCAAGTCCTTAGCCTCAGGTGCAAACCACGATGGTGCAGCACGATCCGTCATCCCAACTACGGTCCGTAGGTGGGGGTTCGTAGGTCCTAGCAGTTTTTGGACTTGAAGTTATGCCATATGTTCCAATCATGTATAGCTTGGCTTAGTAGGATAAGACCAAGGTTGATAGCTTGGGATGGAGGATCTATACTCTCGTAAGGGATAGCTTGACTTAGCATTGTAGAATGCATGTCATGGTAGCATGAGTTAGTAGTAGTCATGGTAGCCTGGGATTGAGGATTTACACTCTCCTATGGGTAGCTTAAACTGGCATTCACTACAAAAAAAACTTGATTTAGCGACGGATTTTAGCTACAAAGAGATTTCCATCGCTAAATAGCGACGGATTAGCAACCAAATTTTAATTATGTCACTAATAAGGCAAAAATATATTTGACATCAAATTTAGCTACGGATTAACGACGGAAATATAAATCCGTCACTAAATTGTGGAGCTAAATTTTTGCGCTCTCATGCTAGCTACAAAAATTAGCAACAAAAATCATGCGACAAAACTTATTAAATGTTAGCTACGGAAGTAGTGACGGAATATCTGTCGCTAGTATATTTTATTAATTAAAATATTTTAATATTAGTTTCTAGAAAAATAAATTCTACTATTCTAGGGCACGGTGACTTCATTTTCTCGCTACTCTCGTTCTCATCATAAAAGCCTGAAATCATAAACACCATCGGTGTCTTTTTCGTTGCCACCTCTCCGACAAGTCGCTCCTCTCCAATGCTTGACCATCTCTAGCTGCTCATCCCTTAGTTTATAGGGTTTTAGAAGTCTTTATTTTCATCTCAGGTAAAGTGTATTTCTTTGCATTCGATTAGTTATTCTTTTATTCGAGTTTAATTTTAATCTCATCATCTTTTTTATTTCTAATATCAGAGTTTCGGTAATGTTCTCTAAGAATCTTCACTATTTTTACTTCGTAGAGTTGGAATTTGGGTAAGAACTCTATAGCTTAATCTTCGATCCGAGCAAAAAAGGTGCATAAATACGATTCTATTTTTTCATTTAAGCAATTTCTCTATTTATGGACATTACATGCTTCAGCTAACTCAGGTTTTCATTGTTTCCATCTATTTGGCATTTTTTTGTTTAATCAAAGTTAAATTTATGAAACACCCAAAGAACTTTTCAAAGGATTTAAAGCAAATCCGATCCCCAAAATTTGAAATTACAACCTATTCTTAGTGATTCTTATGGTAGTTTCCTTCGAGTTAGTGATTTTAATAGTAATTACTCACTGAGTTCCCTTCGAGTTAGTGATTCTTATAGTAATTACTCACTGAGTTTCCTTCGAGTTGAAAAAGATTGACTCATTGTTGCTATTATCCATGTCCTTCTTTAGAGTTGAAAATGATCAACTCGGATAGGCTAATCTATCAATTCACGTCTTCTTAGAAGAACTACAGCTTATTTGAACTTCATCCTTCATCAAGTTGTTATTCTCCGTCTATCTAATCCTCTCATTGTACTAACCTAAGGGCAAGTATTTTAGCTTAGAGAAGTGTATATTTTGTTCCACACTTTCAAGGAAAGTATGAATTACTATATTCTTGTATGTGATTTTTATTTGAAGAGGAAGGAAGTTTGATCGTCCAAGGTTGAACAACAGGAGCTTGTAGTTATTGATGAACTGGGAACAAACACCTGCTGTGAATGAACACTGCACCACCCGAACTTTCTTTTGAAATTTTAGTAAGTTGCTAAACACCAATTTCTCTTAGAATTTTTTGTTGGTTGCGAAAAGAACAATCTGAACAAAGAATTAGGGAGTTTTAATTAGTTTATTGAACTAGAAATCAATTGATGTTTATTGTTGTAATTCAAAGTTAAAAGGGTTGTATTTTTAAATAAGCTAAATTGAGGGTGGACAACTTGTAGCCTTAACAATAAAATTTTTGAACCTATTAGTTAATGCAGATTGTTGGTCTACGCATTAAAATGATGAGTAAAATTAGCTAATGCAGATTGTTGACGTGAAAAAGATGCGTTAACTTTACATATTTTCTTTAAACTTTTGGACTTTCTTGGATTTCTTAAGTAAGCTTATTGAATTATTATTTATTCGTTAGATGGAACAAATAAGGACCGCGTTTATTGTTTCTGATCATTTACTTATTATTTTACATGCTTCATATATTTTGGGAACTTTGCATCTCTACCAAGTATAGTGAGATATAAATTACAATATGTCAGCCACTTTTTCCTACTCTTTAACTATATGAAAGCATGGCAGACACATCTTTGTTTTTAAGATTCCTTTTGACATGATCTAGATTTCTTGTTATGTTAACCACTAAGGCTGGTCAATTACTTTATCTTACATTGTTACTCCAAAAGACTACTCAGTGATTTATGTTGTTCTTTGTGATTTTAGGTAATGCCCCCACTATGGTGCAGGTTGGATAGGTTGTGGTTTGGACATCCTAACATTCTGTCGGGTTCTTTGGCAAGATCCCTCATTGTTTGACTTCTCAGTCGTGTTTGGAGGTAAATATTTCATTTTTAAAGTGATAATATTCAGATGGCCTTACCCGATGACAAGAAAATAGTAACTAAAAGCAAAGAAATAACTAACAGGATAAATTGTTCTGTGTGAAAGCCTATGAAGTACTTTTACATTATTTTTTGTGTAAGATCACTCTGAGATGTGAATGTGGCATTCCTGAAGTTTTAATACATGTGTCTTGATAATTCGAAGTTAAAAGTCGATTTGGTCGTTCTCCTGTTATTATAAAGGTCAACCTGGTGCACGAAGTATGTTGGTGTTCATTGTGTTTCGAATGTGATGAATAATTTTCATGTTCATTTTTCTTTCAATAGTATCATGGATCACTTTCAGCACATCATATCTAACATAAAATCTTTCAAAATACCAAATGTGTAAGGCATATTGCTGAAAATTATCATTGATTTGCTATAGATTTATTTTTGCTAGAGCTTACTGGTGAAAAATAAGGCATGGATACTTGACATTGGTTGATGTTCTTTGATATTCATAGCAAACCTGAAGTGCACTTCATTGAACTCTTCTTTACTATTTCTTGCACTTAGCTTTGCCATGAAAAAATCAAGTGTATTTGTTTACAATTTTTTTGATTTACCAATTTTATTTTACCAAGAAACTCAAAGAAGAATTTTGAGAACTTCTAGTACCTTATAGATCACATGCATATCTAGTTGTTGGATTAAATAAATGTACAAATTATTTTAAGTTCTCACTTACTTTTATTTACAGGATAAAGAGTTCAATAGTTGCTCTGCTCAAGAATTGTTAGAGCAACAGTCATCATAACAACAATTATAGCAGGATGAGATAGATGTTGCAACTTGGATGTATTACGAGATCGTGGAAGAAGTGATGGAGAGAAGAGTTTATGACCTTGGGTTTCAAGAGAAACTGGATTATGACTAGGATCCTACTTTTGATCCAAATGAACATCTCTCGAACACCACATTAGTTAGCTTTGTCCTTAAGGCTCTATTTAATTAGTCGAAGAATTGTTAATGCTTTAAGATTTATGTATTTTTGGATCTACTTGTTAATCATTACTATTATTTCTAAAAAAATTAGGTTCTTTTCGTGCGTATTCAATATTAGTATTACTTTTCATTTATATGTTTTACTTGGATTTTGAAATTATTTTGTAGCTAAATATAAAATTAATAATAGTATTTTACAAATAGCGACGGAATAGCTACAAAATTTTTTAGCCAAAATTTCTTAACGACGAAATCAATAACGTAACTAGCGACAAATATTTTATGTATTAGCTACGGAAACAATTTGTAGCTAATAGTAGCGACGAAATTTACGTCGCTGAT